TGTAGGCACATTTTCTTCTTAGGATTACTGTTAATGTTTCCCATAGGCTTTATTGTGTTATGTTGTCGTTTTCATTTAATTCCAAGAATTTTTATTTATATATTGATTTTTGACCCATTCATCATTCAGTAATGTGTTAATATCTATGAGTTTATATAGTTTCTATAGATTATTTTGTGACTTTAAGCTTTACTAAACTATGGTCATATAACACACATAGAGTTATTTATTTCAGTTCTTTGTAGTTGTATAAATTTGTTTCATCCCCCAGTATGTGGTCTATATTAGACAAATTCCCATGTGTGGCTGAGTAGAATGTATATTCATTGGTGTTTGGGTGGAATAACCTATAGATATGTCTTAAGTCTATTTAATATATAATATAACCTAATTCCAATGTATCTCCATTTATTTTTGTCCAAATGGCCTAACTCCTGGGGAGAAGAGAAATTGAATTCAGCTTAGTTGGTGCCTTGAAGTCTAATAGTATGTTTTCTATTAAATTGGGTGTGCCAGAGTTTGGTGTGTTTATGCTTAGGATTGTAATGTCTTCTGGGTTAATTGTCTCTTGATTAGAATGAAGTTTCCTCCTTTATCTCTTCTGATAGGTTTTAGTTTCAAGACTTGTTTGTCTATATTAGAGTAGCAATTCCTGCTTGCTTTCTAGTACCATTTGCTTAGAATACTTTTTTATTCTATCATTTCACTCTAAGATGGTATTCATCCTTGAACCGAAATCATGTTTTTCAAAGTCTGTGTTTGAAGTCTAGTCCTAGAGTTAATATGCTAAACAGCCTGGAGATGGGGCCTAGAACTGTGGTTTTAACAAGTCCCTTGGTGAACAGTCTATAACCATGACTGTAATAATAATGAGATAATTATGACAGTGACCATGTTGATACCCAAGAGACAGAGAAAAGGCCCATTAAAGAGCCATATGAGGAAGGTACCAGCTAGCAATAGGGCACGTGAGGCACTAGCAGGAAGGAGGTTTCTAAAGCCAACACTGCTGTTTCTATTATTTTATAAATTTCTGCATATTTTGGATGATTAAAGTTTTATTTTTATTCCTGATCTTACCAATGCCAGTTTCATAGACTACTAGCATGATCACTATAAAGACCGAAGTCACTTGACATTTAAACAAATATGCATGAGACCCTTCCCTTCTTGGTTCATCACTCTCTATGTTCCCAGTGAAACCCTAGAAATGTTTAGACACTCAATAGAAACTATGAACAGACTGAGGTAACAACCAAGCCCACTAGAGCAGGCCTGTCTCCCAGCTACTGGGGAGGCCAAGGACAGAGAACACTCCAGATAAGAGCTTTCAATCTTGAAAAAATGTAAAACCAGAGCTAAAGCTGGGATGGAGCTCAGTTGCCAAGCATGTGTGGGTCCCTCAGCTCACTGCCCAATTCTGTGAAGTGGAAGAAAATAACAAAGTGGATTTCAAGAATCAAGTAAGGAAGTTATAGAAAGCTCCTGAGAAAATGCATCACTCTTTAGAACAGCAACTAGGTCTAGGCACAATTGGCTGTGGGGACTACCCCATCCTTTGTAGGATGCTTATCTCTCTGTCTTTGGTTTTGACTCATAGATGCCTGTAGCATCTCTGTCTCAACATATGACAATCCAAAAATATCCTCACATATTGTCCAGTGTCCATAAAGGGCAAGAAAGGAAAACACCCAGTAAAAATGTTCCTTTAAAGCAGTTTTTCCTCAATACTGAATACCACAGACTTCCTCAAGATCAGTGGTGACTTTGTTTGACTAACAAATTACTAAAATGCCCTGATATGTCATTGTGTTGATGCTACAAAGTCACTAAGTCCTTGTAAGAAACCATAGCACTAATGGTTGGAAACAGAAGCATCAACCAAAAGTTTGGTAGACTTTTAGGAAAAGGGGAAGTAAAGCATTTGAGTACAGCAAAACTTATTTTCCTACAGGAAGTAGATCCTGCCTGCTCCTTCTCTGGAGAAGCCAGAAAGCACAGGGAGAGAATGAAGAGGATGTCAATCCTTTCTATCTGAGGCTGGTGACTAAGTAAGGTCTTGTGGGGGGGGGGGGGGGGGGGGGGGGGGGGGGGGGGGGGGG